GATGCCACCCGGGTTAACAAGGTCTGCGTTCATTAGGCAGAGGCTCACGTTCGTAAAATAGACTACAGTCTCCCTTGGTTATTGTGGCGAAAGCAGTGCTGGCCCAAACATGGCTACTGCAATGCCTTCAACAGATGTGTGGAATCAACCTAGCCTTGGTGTTTCTGTGGCAATGCATCCACAGACAACAAAGGCTGGAAAACCACACCAACAGATGAAGTGGACAATAGAAATGAATGAGTTTATCATCCGTACTTACTACATCATCACATAGCTCGAAAGAAACATGACAGCATACAGACAACAACTGCACCATAGATTCACACAACAATATCCTCACCTCACTGTCACCAAACAAAGGGTTGTTGATCAAAAAAGAACAATTATACACAACAACCTTATCCCACAAACAACACTTGAACTTATCAAACAACAGCTTGCTGATCAAAAATACATCAACAGACAGAAACATTTAACATTATTAATGAAGATCACTTAACCTGTCAGGATAATGCAGCAACAAGCATTGATAATAGCACACATACAACAACTACAACTAATGATACTACAGGCACTTCCTTATCCATCACTGATAACGTAGACATAGAATTAGTTAATAAGCTCTCACTTATATTTCAGGAAACACTCACTAAATATACTGGTACAGATCCCACACAAAGACCACAAATACCAAAAATTAACATGTCAAAAGTAGTAGGAAAAACACTAAATTATGTAAACACTCACTTACATCCATTTAATTTCTACACTCTCAGACATTCATACATTAGTTTATGCTGGGGCAGTCACAGTAGTGACAGATACAAACAAAACACAATTCTATCACAAGCCTGCCTGGCAGAGAAGAATAGAAACACAAGTAAATGACATTAGACAGCAATTAGGCAGGCTGACACAATACACTAAAAACAACATAACCCCTAAATTAAAGAAACAACTCAAAAACATTTTCAAGAAAATCACAACACACACATTACAGAATACATTGATACACTAAAACAAAAACTCACAGCCAAAGCACATAGACTCAAACAATACCAAACATGTACACTACGAAAACAACAAAATAAATTATTCATAAACAATGAAAAACTTTTCTAAAGACAAATCAGTACTAAAACAAACACTGATACACAGCACAGTGGCACACCAACAGAAGAAGAACTCACAACTTATTGGTCTTCTCTTTGGTCCAATGCTATTACACACAATGCTGATGCAGGCTGGATCAAGGAGAACAGAAACTTGCACAACATACCAACTATGCCCTGTGCTGAAATAAACGTACACGACATCCACTATGCTGTTAACAGAACACACAACTGGAAGACACCTGGTTTAGACAACATTCACAATTTCTGGTACAAAAAGTTTACATCACTGCACCAGGAACTAGCCAAACATCTAACACACATCATCATCAATCCACAAGACATGCCAAAATTTCTTACTCAGGGCATCACCTACATGAAACCTAAAAACAACAACACCACAGACCCCACACAATACAAACCAATTACATGTCTTCCAACACTCTACAAATTATTGACATCCTGTATCACAAACAAAATGTACAAACATGTTGAAGAACACGACATTCTTACAGAACAACAAAAAGGTTGCCGTAGAAATCACAGGGGATGCAAAGAACAGTTACTCATAGATTCAGTCATTCTACNTAACTTTTTAAAGATTTCATCTGTTTATTAATATATTTTTTCTTTTTTTTAAATTTTATTTTTTTATCTATTATGTATCCAAAACAAGGGAAAGTATTGAAATCATGTCAAACTTGATCCTCAGAGTTTTTTGCAAATCTTTACATTTTGAGACCTACTAAACCGAAAAAGTAAAAAGAAAAAAAAATTGTGTGTGTGTCTTGGCATCAATTTCATTTAATATCTCAAGGTGGGGTAATGATTAAGAAACTAACTTTGGCATGGTAGATAAAAACTACCATTGATAAGAAGTATTGATTCTATTAAATTTTTATCAGGGCTGTGGAGTCGCGTCAAAATCTACCGATTCCGACTTTTCCTTACCAATCCGACTCCAGCTAAAACTCCACGACTCCGACTCAGACTCCACAGCCCTGATTTTTATAGTTAAAGGTTGAGGGGATGGAGATATAGAAGGTGGTTATATGTCATATCTCACAGACTTCCATTCTCATTTAGCCAATTGAATCTTCTTTTCTGCTGTCCAATTTTCGTATTCAAAACAGAATGAAAAATTTGAAAGATTTTGTCAATCATTTCTTAACACAAAATAGAATAATGTATCATTTTTCTCAATTTTTCATTTTCTCAACACAACACAAACGTATGAAGAAGCAAAACATGCCCCATTTAAATATTTGTGTCCCTCGCCATTTGGGACACATGTTTAAATGACATAAAGCATTTTTAGAGGGTTATGTAAGTGTGGATGATCAATTGCACTCAGAAATGACCATATTCTGTGAGAATGGATGACATTGTGGAAAGAGACTAAGAAAAATGAATTCTTTGTGTTCGGCCATGCAAAGCGGACTGTGTAGATAACTGTTAAGTGTATTGGATGTGTTTGAAGTTGTACAGAGCTCCAGAGAATTTAATTCTTGCAAAAAAGCCATTGAAAAGTATTGTAGCCAATACATAAATTCAATAGAGAAGTTGGAAGAGAAACAACTTTCTTAATCTCCAATGTTTATTCCTCTGGAGAGTTTGACACACTCAGCAAAATCCAAAATTTTGGACATTCCAAATAAACCGAAAGTACTTCAGAATATGGCACATTGCATGAATATTCTGGGATAGTCTCTGTTTATCCTTCAATCCATCAGACATTATTATGTACGTCCTCAAAATTAAGTTTTATGCCATTTTATAATAATTAAAAACATAAAATTTTCTCATAACAAAATTCATAACAGATGGCAACACACAATTTTATTTATTATGATTGAAAGTATAAATTTTTTTAAAAATAAAATCTCATAATAGCTGGGAAAGTTATGCAGCTCATTGCTAGATGTTTTTCCTATTTAATGTATGAAATTGATAATTACTATTTATGTTTACATTCTAAATTATTGTTGTTTAAGCAATTACTTACATTATTTTTGAGTTTACAAAAAAATTACACTATTTTATGTTGATAGTTTATTGTATTGATACCTGTCTTGCTAAATTGCTCATTTAATTTACAAAATTTTAAGCGATAGTTAAATATTTTCAAATAGTTTTAATTTTCCAAGGTAATGTGACAATGAGAGTACCTAGGTTAATCAAAAACTTAGGTAACACAGAAAGTTTGGTACAGAGTAATTTGATAAAATCAAAATTTTTTACTATGGTTTTATCAACTCAATCAAATTTTAACTGTAATCATCTTTAGTTTTTGTTTAAATTTATTGTTATGAGAGGTTACCAGAGTGAATTCTTTTTAAAACTTCTAAAGCATTGCCCAATCAAGATCTATGTAATCTACTATAATGTGTTATGTTCTCCTCAGATAATGCAGAATCTCCATTAACTGGATCTTGGTTAATTGAGACATTATTGTATTTTTGTATGTATATGTATACATAGTATCCATTTAAATATCTAAGGGCAAAAAAGATCTTTTTAGCATTGCACAAGTGTTTACATATGGTACATACTGTTCCAGAACTAAAATAAATCATCTTAAATTCATTCCCTTTGGTTAACATAACACACAAATAATCTTGACTGTAAAGGATAAAGACAACATTATAGAAATGGATATGAAAAGTGAGCTTTATTTTGTTACAGAACTTTCAGCAGTAATATGAAGATGTTTTCAGTCAAGTGTGACATTATAGATGGCATGTAGCATTCCTGGTGTTACCTTTCACAGACCTCTTGTATGCCTCTCTCCAGTTTGCCAACATCACGCTGCATTGTTGAGTAAGAATCATATAATGATAACTTTAGGTGGCCCCATAGGAAAAACCAATTTGATGTCAAGTCTGGGGAACATATGGTGGCCACGGAACAGGACTGCATTGTACTATTCAATGGTTGCTACAGGTTCTTCAAGCACCTGTGTAGGAATGAGTTGTCATGCCATTGTGCTGGTACCAAATCTGCTTTAGTTGTGCCAATGGCAATTTGTCAAGCCATTCATCCACATCCTGTTTAGGATATTCAGATATTGGTCACTGTTCAGAGTGCCATCAACAAATATAGGACCAAAAAGCTGTTAATCCAAATTCTATAACAGATGTTAGATAAAATGATGTTGCATGCAACATGTGTAGGGCATGCTCTGCCAAGCGGTGCACATTGTGACAGTTATACATGTCATTTTGGAAAAATAACACCCAGTCACTTTATAAAATGTGCTGAAGGTGTTTTGCTTCATCATATTCTCAAGTTAACATTGTATTGCTTTACTCAAATCACCAAATGACATCTGCATGTTGTGCTGACTTCAGATAGCAATGGAATGGGTTCACGTCAAATGGTAATATCCAGTATATTTGTGTCTGCTGCAGTCCACAACCTAAGCTAACCTAACTAACCAATGCTGGAAAAATTCTTTTGTCCTTGTAGATGTTTAAGTGGATACACTTAATGTATAAAATTTTAATGTAAAATTACATCTTAATTCTGTAATGAACAATTGAAAGTTAACTTAATGTAATGAAAGTTTAGCTTTTAGCTTAAAAGATTGAATAATCATAAACTATATTAAATTGAAATTCTGTAAAAACAGAAAATAAAGCAGCTATGCAAAGACTAAATACAACTATTACTCACTTTACATGAGAGAAAAATGGGATAAATAAGAGTATTAGAGATTAACTGAATATATTTTCTAATGTTATGATACAACAGATACAAGAATTTTAAAGTTTTTATACTCTATAAAATATACAATAAAATAAAATTTTAATAAGATGTTAATACATTATTTTGATTCTGTTGTTTGGAATTCAAAACATGATCTTAATATATACTTTCAATATTTAGGATCCTTCAACTTCTACAAATTCTATATCTGAAAATCTGAATGGAATTGACATAACAACGATTAACAAGCTTCTAAATAAGATGCTACCTTCTTTGAAAGCAAAATCTCCAAATCCCAAGAAGAAATCGAAAAAAGAAAAATCTATAGATGCTGCTTTAGATGCATTTTTATTACCTTTGGCTCTAAATATTTTTCAGAAACCAAAAATAAAAGGTAAGGATTTCATACTATAATCTGATTAAATTTGTTTGTTTGTTTTGATATTACAGGATTCTCTGTAAATTTGATATCAGTATATATCAAATTTAGCCATTTGGTTGATGGCTAAATATTTCTTCTAATCAGTTTATACTTATGTTTGTTATTGTTATGTCATTGTTCCTGTTTATTGTATATCCTCTGGAACAAGTTGATTTCGAATATTAACATTTTAGAATGACAAAAATTTTAAGTTTTTTCATAAAATTTCCGTCGGATGGCAAATTTTTCTTTGTAAATAAAGACACAGTCGATCCAAAAATTCTTTTAATTAATTTTGTGTTTTTAAGGAATGGTTTAACTGGACAGCCGAGTAGCCTATAAAGGAAGGTCTGGTTGTCTAAAGTTTTATTCTATAACACATAATAAAATGGTGGTTTTCAAAAGAATTTTTGGATCGACTGTGTCTTTATTTACAAAGGAAAATTAACTTTTTTTTGTTTTAAAATGTTAACATTCGAAATCAGCTTATTTCAGAGGACATTCCAGCTTTCATTCTTATTTTTAAATTGAAATATATTTATTGTATATTTATCATTGTGAACAGTTTGTCTTTATATTATATTCTCTGTGAATTATGAATGCTCAGAATGTAAGTTTAAAGGTGTGTGGTTATTGTCTGCCAGAGTTATAGCTTTATGTAATCCTGATGTTTTTTGTGGAAAAACTTCTACAGTGTGTATAATATAGTTATATTAGACAGACTATAGCCACTTTCTTTATGAGGAAAAGTTAGTCTTTCTGTGGATGATTTTGGGCTATATTGTTTATGCTCAGTAAGTGTTGTTGTTTTTCTTTGGTGTTGCTTGAGATCTGTGTGTATGATTCCAAAAGAATAAATGAATATAGGACAGCATATGTATTAATAGCTTTAACTGTTTAAGGTCTGAAAACTCACTCCATCTCTGTTGCTAATGACTAAATTGTTTTTACTGCTAGGCTACAAGGGGAACTTGTATAACAAAACTAGTCTAACAACTTTTCAATTGACCAATTTCATTTTAAATGGATAAGGCTGATTTTGGATGATTTCGTATTTAACCTGTCCCTTGTTGTTTTCGAGTATTTTCGTGTTGACCTCATTTGACCTGATCCGTTGACCCCGAATATACTCATTTCTGCATCGGAACGTTCTTGATGCCACTGTGTGTCATAATTTTTATATTAAAACGAACTTTTGAAATATAATTTTTTTTTGTTTTTATATTTTTCAATATATTTTTGTTTGTGCAAAATAGAAAAAAAATTTTTAATGATACAGTAGTCACGATTATTATTTAAAAAAAATTTTTTTTCATTAGGCTTAACATCGACAAAAATTCAACATGACAGTCACATGCAATGGAGAAAAATTTCAACATGGGATAGGTTAAAGAGTTAATAGTATGTTTTGCATTTAGGTGCGTTCTTAGCACTGCATGTATTTTGGTATTCGAGTGCCAACCTTTGTTCTAGCTGTGCATGTTCTATAAGTTTGGCTTGTTGGAATCTTAAATATTTGTAAAACTTGTCCTTTTCCATGGACTCAATAATTTCTCCACTTGAGTACAGTGTCTCCTTTCTTCAGAATTCCTTTTTTAATGTGGAGTGTTTTGCATTTGTCTAGACCAAACTCCATTTTTATATTGTAGTGAATGGCCACTAAATGTATTTTATTGTAAATTTGTGTTCAATTTGGTGTATTAATATTGGTTATGTAATTAGTTTTGTGTTGTAAATTGAGAAACGGGAATGAATTTCGTTTCGTATAAAAAACCACCCCGGGAGGTGTTGTATGTCGCATACCACCATTTGGTGAGTGAGGCTTGTAATTGATCATTGGCTATTCAACAAAGTCACACATGTGTAGTTAAGTTCCCAGATGGTGGGAGCTTTTAAATAGCATGTATTGTGTGTGGTCTGACACATTTGGGATATTCGCTTGGACTGTACTCATAAGGAATGATTGAGTGAAACAGAGAAGGTAAGGGATATTCGCTCATAGCATGCAAGCAGAGGACTGGTGAGGTCAAGAAGAAGGAATCCATCTCCATTGACGTAAGGACACTGCATATGCCCTATACAACAGGGACACCACGTGGTAGTGTAGATATTTGTCCAACCATCATAATTATTTTGTGTATGGAAACCCTTTCAACATGTGTTGATACACCTTGCTAGTGGGGTAAACCATTGTGAATGTGTGAACGTGTTACACACACACAGGAACATCGTCTGTAAATATCTTTGTATCTGATTAGGTTAAGTTCGCGTTTTCCTTTGTCTCCCCTTATATTTTTTTATATATGCTTTTTCTGTTATTTTAATAAAATTCATAATTTGCATGTCATTACTTTGTTAAGTTCTCATTATTCCTACCTGATAAAAATGTCTAGATTGTTTCGACCATCCAAGACACTACAATATCATTTGAGTGTGTGTGTGTGTGTGTAGTTTGTAAGAGAGGATGAAGTTGATTGTGTGTGAATGCATAAAGTTTGATATTGTCTATTACAGTACCTAAGGTGTTATAATGTGAACAGTGTTGTTTTGTTGTGTCTGATATTGTAGCCATATTGTGTTAGATAAAAGGTTAAGTGCAAGGCAAAACCAAAGAGGACTCAAGGAATCTCTTTGAAAAATTTCTTGTTTGATGTATATGTGAGTGTTATGGAGGTTAAGATGTAATGTTGTTCTCTAGTGGAGCATGGTAACTAATGAGTTTGGGTGAATTTTGTAGATACAAAGTGTGTGGGACACTGTCAAATGCTTTTCTGTAATCAATGTATTCCATTTGTATGTTTCTGTGTTGCTAATGAACTTACTGTAGAATTTTTATTTAAATATATTTTTCAGTGAAATTTCCTTATTATACTATCAGAATTATTATTTCATTTTTAATTTCAAATTTCAATGTCATCAAATATTTCCTTATTGATGAATTATTCAGAATTACTAAAGCATATATTTATATTTTAGCAAAGTAAATTAGGAAACTTTTACTAAGTTACACAGTATACAATCTTTGTGCAAGTAATATTTCATTAATTACTTTGTAATTTTCTTAATGGTTTTGGATTTTTACTTTCCCGTTTCTGTTATATATAACATAAAAAGTATGACGATCAGTCAAAAAATGGCCCCCAAGATTTTTACATTTTTGGACTGAGGACCTTGATACATCAAAAAATGCAAAAAAACTCAGGGATTTTTTTTTGTATATATGGATGTTTGTTTTTGTTTGTTTGTTTGTGGGGGCACGATTTTGTTCACCCTCATTGAAGCTTAATAACTCCTGTAGTTTTTGTTGAAGATTTCTGAAATTTTGCAGGGAGGTTTGTATATTAGGGAATTGATTCTATTAAATTTTGGTGGTTAAAGATCAACAGAGTGGGAAGAAAGGGGAGTCATGTCATATCTTGAGTAGGGTC